TTATCAGTATGATATCAAGCAGACAAGTAATGAGAATAAAGAAAAATATCAATTGGGGGACTATTGGTTGACCCAATTCTAAATTCTCCAAACTAACATCACATAAATTGTATGGCAGACAGTAAGGAGAATTAGTTATTAAATCTTGGGAGTTAAAGGGTTAAACATCCGTGACATTTGAGTGGGGACAACTGTGGCAGCCACATAAATATTGTTACTGATAACTGCCATTTTTCTTCAAGTTTTCACAAGTTTATACTACTACTTTTCTAACGGTTTGACGAAAATAAAATTAATTTTTTTTCAGCAAGCATTTTGTCATTTTGAGAACTTAACCTTTTCACTCCCAGAAGTGTTTCACATGTAACTTCTCCCTATACTATACAATACACTATCCAGCAAACAGGTAATGAGAGAATAGTTACAATTAACAGTTAGAAGTTGTTATCTTGATCTGACACCAAATTCTCTAAACTCATTAATAAGGAAATGTGTAACAGCCAGAGGGGGGAATTCATACTCAGATCTTGGGAGTTAAAGGTTGAATACAGATAAATTAGGGCTCCAAGCAATAAACACATTTTATGGATTTACCTTCAAGACCTTCTCAAATTGATCAAGAGGGTGTGGTCCTTTTTTGGAAACAGTTCTCACAGCAATTCCTATTCCTGCACAATTGACGGCTACATTGAGGGGACCAAATTTTTCATTAGCTAACTTGATAGCTTGCTGGACATCAGCTTCTGATGTAACCTTGAAATACCACAAAAATAATCAAATAAACAAACAGATTCTAAGTTATTGTCCATCTTTTAAGTAACAGATCACCAATGAGACTTGGTGTACAAGGCACACCCCCCAACCCACCTCCCAAAAGCGATAAGTCTTCCATTCTTCACAGTTTGAACAAGGGATGCTTCGCAAAATATTTAGAAAGCACCCAAACTTGAGATCTTTCGATGTGACAAAATTTTTTGGAAATCTTTTACAAAGAATGCGAGTGAGCGTATTGGTTACAAAAAAATTACGAAACATTCTAGTATGAACTCACATCCGTTGGTGCGAAATAGCAACTTTCACCCAATTCCTTAGCTACTTTTTCTCCATCACTTGAGGAGAGATCAGCTACGACTACTTTTGCTCCATATTTTGCGAGTCTCTGGGCTGTTGCCCGCCCTAATCCCGAAGCACCACCGGTTACGATGCACACAGCCTTCTGTAAATTCGCGGCCATGTTGGTTCTTACACGTGTATTGAGCCGGTCAATGCTGACAGACTAGTCAGCGGTTATTGTGGATAGCGGGTGTAACTGTCAGATAGTTGAAGACCTCGACGGGTTCGTCTACGTGGGATTTTACGCACATTCGTGCTATGCCTTGGAAATAGTGAAAATAGCTGGCCAAATTGGCTGCCCTAATCCGACCTGGTCTTTTCTAGTTTAGTCTAGCCTAATGAATAAAGAGGCAAAATTTTTAAAGAAACTGTGGCGCTGCGTCGGTGGGAGAGTATAACAGGTAACTTAGTGTTAACAACTGTACGAGCGTAAGCCCTTCGTCAGAGCGACTAGTCTGGCCTAGTGTAGCCTAGCTTGATCTGATCTGATTTAGTCTAGTCTAACGTTTAGACTGGTGCAGAATTGTCTAATGTAAGCTGGTTCTAACTGTGTCTAGTCTGGTCTGGGCTGGTTTACTCTAGACTAGTCTCACCGGAATTTTTTTTAGTGTCATGTTGTCTTACCTAGTCTCACCTCGTCATGTTTTGTTTGGTCTGATTTTTTCTTATCCTTAACTAGTCTCTCCTGAAAAGCTTAGCCTAGTGTTGTCAATTCAGTGTAGTCGAGTCGAGTCTACCTTATCTACCCCCGTCTAGTGTTACACGTTTCTAATAATTTTGTTTGGTCTGGTCTTGTCTAGTCTGATCTATTCCAGACATTGATCAAACACAGAAGACTCATTTCTGGGAGATAAGAGGTACAGAGGTAGGCGTCTTGATACCTGGGAAGTCCATGCGATGGATGATCTCGCATGGGAGGCTAATATACAAAAGATTATTACACAAATGATATGATTGTTTCAAATTTATTGTTCCTTTTAAGACAAAAAAGTTTAAATGGATAGAAATATCATTATCATGTCCATTATAATAAATGATAAAAAGTCTTCATAAACAATATGTCTTCATACTTCTTCGACACAATTGTATTAAAATATCGCTTTCTTCTGCTAGTTTCATCACATAATTTGAGAGACAGGCACTTTGATGTTGCTTGGAAAATAGAGCAAATTATTCTTTAAAACATTACTACTTGCGTTTGAAAAGAAGCAAAGGAAAACAAATGCACTGACCAACTGACCAAATGCAGTGACCAAGTGCAGTGTCGCATTCAATTAGTGTCTCTCTGATTGGCCGGTTCCGGCGTGAAGGACAATTTTGGACTAACAACAGACAATCAAGTGTCTGTTGCACTACACGTTAACATTAAGGAAATTTTAAGTTTTTTTTTAGGTATTACAAAATGAGCTTAATTTCACCGTAATTCTATTAGAAAAGAAAACGGTAAATGGGAAACGGGATATCTTTATGATATCTGGCAAAGAAAAGTCGGAGATGCAGTTTGATGAATTTAAAAAATACCATGCGATACGATATAGGATAATGATGGAAAATGATATCGGCATTCTTTCATTGTTACTCGAACAGATAATAGCACATGTAGAAGAGAAAACGAATTTCTCTCTCTTGTTGACATAAAAGCAGTCTCCCGACTTTCTTTCTAATGACAACTTCCAAACGAAACATAAAAGCTCCCGAAGAGAGTCATCTATTTTCTCAGTCCTACATTTAATTCGTTTCTTCCGTCTGCAAAATACCGTCATCACCCTGTTCTTGCGCTTTCCAAGAATCCTCGACTGTTTCATATGAAAACCTCTTAAAGTTCGATCCGCCTTGGTGCGCCTTCTGTGGGAGGCAACCAAAGAGAGCGTGCAGTTCCTCTGTTTCTTTATCTCGAGATCTAGCACGTTCCCTCCGCAGTGTCTGATCTCGCACCATTCTCTTCAAGTTCATCTCCAGCTGTAGAAAAAAAGAAGGTAGTTAGATTGCAATGTGCAAGTTCTTTCTCGCGTCTATCGTGTTATTTAAATGATATTCACCGCTTCTCCCCCTTTCTAGCGAAGCAAAGGAAAAGCGCGCAAAAAGTAAAGAAAGCCTCGTACCATTGGCTTGTTGCTGTTCATCATTATGCGTTGACAACATGGACTTCGCCTGTTACAAGTTAGAAAACAGTATTTGTAATAAAACGTAAGATGACGTTTCGCTAATTTTCAGAAAGAACATAAGCCTTGGCACAAGGCATGGCCCCTCATATCAAATCATTCACAATGGACCCTTTGGTGACTTAAGGAAAAAACAAGCTTCTCCTTTTTATCCGTATAGCGCGCGGAGTACACGACACAGAAATATTTCCCCTATGTTTTCACATCTCCACCAATTTTTTCTTAAACACTTAATAATATTCTTTTCTTGTCGGAAATTTTTAGTTCTTATGCGGGACCTGACATACTTTTCCCATTTTCAAAGTATATCACGATATCGGTCCCAGATCTCTCTCGTGCTGGCACCTTGCAGTATTGAATGACCTTCCCGAGGAAGATTTGGGCACGAGTTTGATTAAATGAAAAAACGAAAAATGTTAAAAAACCAGAGTTATTACCATGGACGATCAAAACAAAGGAAAGTATCACAAGGAACCTACGAGAGGTCAAAGCAGATGCATGGGAATGGGATGGAAAATGGACCAATTACAGAATGCAGTGGGTCAAAACAAATGAGCGCAGTCCTGGATTGCTCTCTGCACTCAATGGATAATGATTTTACGAGAAAAACTCACCTCCTCAACTTGCTTTCTTAACTCCTTGTTCTCTTCCTCTATCATGGCGTGATTCTGTATAGCTTCCAAAGACCGCGTAAATGGTGTACCACGAGAAAAACCACTGGACTGTTTGCCACCTCGCCTCAATGGATTCCCATCCGGGTCCTTGTATATTTGGATAACCTGAAGAAGAGAAAAAAGAACACGATTGTGAAGTAATGTCTAGGTACTGCATCGCACTCTCCACAATTTCAATCTCCCCAACTGCGATCCAACTGAATTTAGTTTGGTTTAAGTTGAGCGAGTTCCTGAATAAGAATTTTTCACTGGCACCCCAGGGGGAAATGTCGTTACAACTTCAGTTTTTTTTTTTACCAAACTTCAATAAAAAGCGCGCTGACCGTTGCCAATGCTTTGTGTTTGCTTTTTACGACACTTAATGGCAATACACTCAATTTAAAATGTACCCTAGAGCATCAAAATATTTAAGAGAGTTTTTATTACATTACCTTGGGTACAAACAGAATTCCGAGTGTCAGCGTGGTGCAGAACAAAATGACGGCACAAATAAGTGAAAAGCTGACAGTGGGATGACTGTTCGTGAAGAAAGACACAGGAACACCAACCGCGCAAAGCAGGACCACATTATACACGCTGATACCGATGAAACGAGAATCATTCAGTGCTGGAATCGAAACTTTGCGTGTTTCAAATGCAAGGAACAAACCGAAGATGAGCTGAAGGCTGTGAAAAGTATAGAACACAATAATCCACACTGTGAAATGGGGCCCCTCGCATTCCTCACGGCAAAGAACAGTCTTGTGATCGCGATCGTAAGAAATCTGTAAATTTAAATCATAAGGTATGGACATTGCATTAGCTGACGAGAGTTAATTCAGATAAGCTTTAAATTATATTTCTGATCATTAACTTTTTGTGTCAAAATTAAGCTAGGTATTTAACTGTTTAAGAACACCCCTATTAAGGGAGTTGGATGTTGTATGCATAATCAACGAGAAAAAAAAACTGAGAGAGAAATAGAATTACCTGAGAGAAAAGGAAAGCTTGATAAGAGTAAATGAGAGAGAAAAGAGTTAAGGAAGGAAAAAGCTTTAAATGAACATGAAGATCAAAGAACAGTCACTATGACATAAGGACTGACTTCATAGTATGTATGATTAACAAAGCTACCCATCGTTCTTTTCAGTCGCACCTATGCTTGCAGTTGTTGCTGTTGTCACTTGCTTAACGCATATTCTCCATACTGTTCTACATACATTACTTAAGGTGCTGACAAGGAGAATTTGTCTTAACAATCAATAGCTTCTTAAGCTGGTGATCATTTCCTTTATTCTCGTGGCCCTAATGTGTGATTCAGGGATGATGTTATAAGGAGAAATTAGATGTCAATCACTCTCATGGGTCAAAGGGTTTAAATAATGTAAAAATGACCTCTGTGTTTGCTCACCTTTCTTAGAATTCAAAAATTAACTTTGGAAATAAACAGAAAAAATCGCCCTTTTTACTGCTGATACAAATGTTGTAATATCAACGCAAATTTTCCATTTGCTTAACTTCTTTCCAATCGTACCCAGACCTCAACCCTTACCAGATTTATAAGATCGTGGAAAGTCTGGAACCAACACTACTAAAAGTAACGACTTTTGTTACTTTCAGTAGTGTTGGTTCCAGACTTCCCACCGACTAAATGGGCTACTGCTGAGAGGTCACTTCAGTTGGGAATTCTACTTTCGTCGTTTACCTGAGCTCCTTCATTCACGATTACTTTCCTATTTGGTGGATGCAAAGACATCCAGGTGGCAAGTAACAGAACATCTACAAACACTAGCGCTCCTAACAAGCGGAACAGGTCGGAATCACGGACTACCTGTGGGGGACAGAAAAAAAATGCTATTAGATCGGTTAATTAGCAGGCACTTCCTACACTATGTACGCACTGCGGATCTATGAAATATGTATCTCACACCCTGCTATCACAGTACTCCTATGGGATTGATTAAAAATGTCTTTTGTAGGGGTTTAATTGGATTAATATCTGGGAGCTCAGAAAAATTTTGTTGTTGTTGTTGTTGTTGTTTTGCTTGTCGTTGTTGTTTTGCTTGTCGTTGTTGTTGTCTTTTTTTCACCTTTCTGATTTTCTTGATGTTCGTGAAAATCTGGTGGACACGCCAAGTCTTGGAGAACATGGCACCAAATCCTACGGTAAATCCAAGAGACAGCAAACAGAATCGTGCCTACGAAAAAGAAGATTAGAACAGATCATAAAATTGACACCAAATTCTCTAAATGAATGAATTAACTAACGAATACATGAATTATCAAATGTTTGATCGAATGGATAAGCTG